TATATATATATATATACATATATTTTTGATTATATAAAATAATATGAAAATTTATCCCACAAGAAGAAATGATTTTTTGGATTATCATTGAGCAATATGGGCAGATAATTTCTTCCTCTCTTTTTTTATTTCTTTTCTTTTCTTTAGAATAGAAAGGAAGAGGTAAGGGGTGGTTGGTTAAAGGTTGGGATACAGTGAAAGCTGCAAGAACCGTTATGGATCGCGCCACCTGTTACTAACTTCGCCCTGAAACGTATTAGCCACCACCGTGGCGTCGACCAGGCCGGCCAAACTCGAGATCATATTTTACCTCCGTAGTATTCTCCTCCTGCCTTTCCAACCCCTCTCTCCAACTCCCTCCCCCATTTTTCTCTCTTTCTCTCTCTCTGTTTCTCCTAGGTATCTCTTACAATCTCTCTAGTAGCATCCCTTACCATCGTCTCGGTGAATATACTTGAATAATTATTCCTAATTTCGTCATTCGTCCTGCACGTGTCGTGTTCTCTCGTCTCCAAAATTTACTACTTTGTTGATGTTACTACTACCGCGTTGGTATTAGTAGCAGTAATAACCGGAATCTAGTCAGACATCGGCCAATATACGCTGGCGAACGTGTATCAGTGATTTTAAACAAAGAATTTTCGATTTGATATTTTAATAAATCAAATATGATGTACGTAGATAAATAATTTTTATTTTATGCGATTCATTTATAATATAGGTTATAATTGTTTGATTATATACGCTAAACGGTGTCTAGTGTAAAAACGGAAAAATCTAATCAGTAACGTATTATGTATATTGTAGAATTATTTTCTATATATGTTTTTATATTGTGTTTAAATTTTTAAATAAATTTCTCTTCTATATTATATATTTTTATTATATTTTATTTGATGGAATTTTTTAATATTCTTATTTAGGTACAGTTATTCCAAGAGCTTATTTCAGATATTTAGTTCTTTTTTTTTTTAAATATTATAACAAATTAAATTGTTGTACAATATAATAGAAAAAGTTTCAACACTCCATAGTATATTCCTATTGCAAATAATAATTTTAAGTATTAAAATTGTAATAATTTATTTTTCCTATAATTTAGAGATGTAAGAAAATGGCGTAGGCATATTTAATAAAATATCCAAATATATATTATCAAATTTTTATATATTTTATATATTATTATCGTATAATTATCGAAAAATAAAATGGATATATTTGTATAATATATACATAGAGAAAGAAAGACACGGACTGAGAAATAAAGTGAGAGAGAGAGAGAGAGAGAGAGAGAGAGAGAGAAAAAGGAGTGTAAAAATGGTAGTAAAATCAGCGACTCGGTGGTGCGACGTAGTCGATGGTAATCTTTAAGTTCGCGTTTTAAGAGTGCCTCAAGTACAAGATGGTTAATTAGAAGTAGCTCGTTATAAGTACTTCCCGTCTTATCTTCTCTCAGACTTTTTGCTTCGTTATGCTTCTTCGCAGGAGCATTATAGTAACGTTTTATTAGCCGATGTAACACTGTCAGAAGAGAACTTTCTCTTTCTTCTTCTTATTCTTCCTTCTTTTCTTTTCCTACCATCTTATTTTTTTTCTCTCTCTCCTTCGGTCATTAAAAAACATTCCTTTTTTATCTTTTTTTTATTTTCCTTCCTTCCTCTCTTCCACCTTCTTTTCCTTCTTTACTTTCATTCTTTGAAAGGTTTTTATTTATTTATATTTTCTTTTTAATCGCGTCCAAGCTCGTAGTAATTATTAAATAAAATGTGACAGGAATATTAAATGACGTAACGAGTTGGGTAAGGTTTCTAACGAATAGTCTCGAAGAGTATTAAGATAATAATAAATAGAATATATATATATATACATTAAAGGGACATCTTATCGATGTGTTTTTCTTCTCTCTCTTTCTCGACAAGAAATAAAAATAAAAAAGAAAAGAGAGAGAGCGAGTGACTGAGGGAATGGTAAATATATCTTGAATGGAAAAATTTTCGAAACACTCTTTCCTATTATCTAAAGTTTGTTCCCCGTAGGATATAATCTCGACGAACTTAGTAAGGAATTTGGTGACTTTCACAGGTTAGATAAGGCATACGTAATAGGGGGTAGAAGGTTGGGAGAGGGAGAGTGCAGAGAGTGCAGAGGTTTTGTTGGATCTTATACGATAAGTCCATGGAAAGTTTGTGGACAAATTTTCGCTCGAGGCACGTGACGAAAAAATCGTACGAATTTAGAAATAATTTTGTATTGTCTGACCATTTCGAAAATAACCGTTCATACATTTTTCATATTTCATATATAGGTATAAATAGATATGTCCTATGTGAACATGTGCGAATAATCGAAAATAAATCACCGATCAATTTCACTTGGTCAAGGTTTACTTTTTATCTATCTCAAATTATTATGATTCTGTATGATCGTGTTGATCATTTTTAGTTTTTTTAATATTTTAAATTTTGAAATAAATTGTGAATCACACACACATTCCGGTTTCTAAATTGAATACTTCGTGATTTTATTTTATGATTCAAGAGGTTTAACGTCTTGAAAAAAAATAGAAATAAAAAGGAATGAAGAAAAGGGGACAATATTATCCACAAATAATCTCGATGGGGTGGATTGCTGGCTGGTGTCGTCTTGGTGTCGTTGAGCGATCGTTGGAAAGAAATTAACCGATTTCTCAAGCAGGGAGGCCATTTCGGGTCATAGATATAAATAGAGAAGTCGAGAAATTCATTTATCATCTCTTCGAGTATTCCGGGTGCTAAGTAAGAAGAAAGAAAGAGATAGAGATACCATGTATCCTTATATATAAATGTGTATATGTGTATATCTTAAAATATATAAACGCAAGAGGATTCACATAAATTCTAATACATAAACGTGTCCCTATGTATAGCTATTAATATATATATATATACATAAGTATAATATTAAGTATGCGTTTATGTGTGTGAGTGTATATAAGATGCTATAAAGAAAGACAAAGGTAGAGAGAAACGAAGGAACTTGCCATTTGGTGCGTGGCTGAGTGGCACAAGACAGAAAAAGGATGGAGTATGAAAAAGATAAAAAAAAAAGAAGAAGAAAAAAAAGGGAAAAAGAGATAGTTTAGGGAAAAAGAGAGAAACAGTGTGTGTGTATGAGGGAGAGAGAGAGAGAGAGAAAGAGTCACAGGCGGTGACTTTTCATTTTTGATTTATCGCGCTAACTTTTATTTCTCTCGGGGGATATTAAAACCCGTTGTCCCGACCATTTAACTTCGCTCGGCTGATTGATGATTGGCCACTCCCGCCACTGCCGACTGCTCTCCATGCATTGACCTTTCATTGCGCGAACTTACGATTAATAAAACGCTTATGGCTTTAACGACGACTTACGAACCTATTATTCATGCGATTTTACTTTCTATCCATGATTTTCTTTTCGTAGGCCTGCGTTTTTACTTTCTTCTATTTTTTGTACACAATACACGCATGATACGTTAGATGTGTTTTTAATATAAATCGATAGTACGTTTAAAGCGCTTAGTACGATTAAAATATTATAATCTCATGCGTTTAGATAAATTTGCCTTACAATTCATGACAAATCAAATTACGAAGTGTTATCGATTGAATACATTTGTTATTCCTTTATTTGTATATAAACATTTTTCATCAATATTTGTCTTTTATTTGTTTTTTTAGTAATGGAAGGGAAAGAGGGGGATGGGGAAGGATGAGCGGCTAAAGAAGAAGAAACGTTTCAATTAACTTAAAGTAAAAGTTCGCACCTCACACGCGACTATTTTGAAAGTTGGCTGACTCTGGCCAAGAACAAGAGGAAGAAGAGGTGGTGGTGGTGGAAGAGGAGAAATAGGGGAAGGGGTAAGTGAACTCGTTAAAATCTTAAGGCGCCTTAATTAGTCTAATAGCATCATCCTTTTTCCCGTTGGTCCGTCAACGGTTCCATCCAATTTCTTCCTCTTGTTACCTTGTTCCATTCGCGCGCGCGGCCGCGTGTTACTGCGCTAAGATCTTCTCTTGGTAGCTGTTCAAATATTACCCGGTGCACTAATTCCAATTAAAACGTTTTGCTTTGGATGCGAGAGAGTTCAAATATATTCCATAATTCGAAAGAGAGATAAGAGAAATGAAATAGAACGATATTATGTTTTTTTTGTTAATCGATAATCACCAAACCCCCATATCCGTTTAAATTATTTTAAATTTATTTATATACTTTTCTTTTTTTTCTTTTTATTCACTTCCTATAGTTTCGTATTTCTTTAGATATTGTTTATTAGTTTCGTTAACAAATAACCTTTCGGTCGTTTAGAAAATTCCATGAAATTTAATTCGAACGATACAACATAGAAATAATTTGTACCTGTTTAAATAAGTATCAGCATTAGTAAGTTGATTATTCGTTATCGTTTTCTTTTCATCGTTATGTTATTTACACACAGAATTTTATTCGATAAATTATCTGGGTCGCGTAAAACCGTGAATATCATGGACGAGATAAAATAAATAGGAACGCATTTATCTTTCACGAGTAAATTGTTAAATTGTTTGTTGCCTAGCGAATCGTGGATTAACAAAAATTAGAACCGTGCAACGCTTTTAATTTTTCGCTAAAGAAATAATTAACATAAGAATATTTTCCCTTTTTTGTTTTCATTTCGTCTTTTTTATATTCGTTTCTTTCTTTCTTTTCTTGTCTTAAAGTTTAATTTTAAATTAAATTCGAAAGTTTAACGAAATCCGAGGGTTGTTTTTACTTAAGGAATAATTTGGCTTCGTTAAAGAAAGAGGAAAAGAAAAAGAAAAAGAAAAAGAAAAAGAGAGAGAAAGACAATTTCGATTAAC